GGTCAGCTGTCTCTGTGGCATGGATCAGGTCTGGGGGCCTGGGAGATGCATGGAGTAGGAGAGGACATGGCCCTCAGGCCCTCTCCCCCTCTGCTGGCAGCATCGCTGTGCGGTGGCCCGCTGCCCTCCCTTTGCCCCGTGTCTGCCCTGACCTGGGGCACGCCTGCCTGTGCTGTGCTTGCGATGTGTACCAATAAACAAGCCACCATGGCCTGAGAGCCCCACCTCTCCTTGGACTCTGGGAGTGCGGGTAGGCAAATCATACGTCACGGAGGAGCTCACATGGGCCTGCCCCCAAGGACAGGCCGCTGGGAATTGTCTCCAAGAGTGCTCCAAATCTTGCTGCGGGATGCGGGGCTCCGGAAGCAGAGCCACATCTCCTGCTCGGAAGGGACTTTGGAGGTCATGTGGAGTTGCCCTGCATGTTGCAGAAGGGGAAACTGAGGCCTCTTAGGAGAGAATCTGTACCAATCTGGAGGCCTAACCAAGGTGCCCAGGTCCCCCATTTGGAGCCCTTCCCACTGCAGCATCAGACCCAAATGCCACTGAATTCCATCCCCCCACCCCGAGCCCTGTCCCCTCCCCAGCAGGGCTCCTCTTTGGCAGATCTGAGTCACCTCTGTGTCTATTATTATGGGCTTATTAAAATGATCCTCTGCTGGAGTGGAAAAGCTCCAGAAAAATTAGAGTCACCCCCCTGACACTGCCGGGCTCAGGGCCAATGAGCATGTGTCACCGAACCGCCTAAGGCTAGGAAGGAGGGCAAAGACCACTTCCTGAGGGCCTACTATGTGTCAGGCATCTCGCCAGGTGCTTTCATACATCAGCTTGTTTAGTCTTCACAGTGGCTCTGTGCCGTATTCACATTTAACAGATGAAGAAACTGAGGCACGAGGAAGTTAAAAGGCTTGCCCATGTCTTACAGTCAGTCGATGACAGTGGCCAGGATCGAATCAGAAGCTGGCATCTTCTCATGTCCCTGCCCTGTGTCCCCTATTGTGTGCCAGGGTCACCTGAGACGGTAAGACACAAGCAGGGCGGGCTCAGACACAGTGGCCCTGGCAAGGATCTCCTCTGGCCGACCAAGGCCGTCCTAATTCCTGAAAACACCAGGGGGGGCTGTGGAGTCGAAAATGCCCAGGAGGCTTATTTAAAGGGCTTGGGCAGCAAGCAGCTGGAGTCTGGAATTCCCAGGACAGGAGTGAGCACCAGGGTCTAGCCTTTCACCTCTGAGCAGGAGCCCCGACCTCCTGCCGGGAGCCTAGGGGTTTTCAGCGTCCTCCAGAGGCGAGGCTCAGGCTTCAGTCTTCCTTTTGTGACTCCTCCTGGGTTTCTTAGGAGGAGAGGTTGGCTTCCAGCGTCCTTTTAGTGGGAGAGCAGGCGGCCACCTGAGGCAGGGTGGGCGGGGCTGGGGAGCGCATGGGCAGGCTTCCTCCAGACAGCCGCTCCTCCTCCCTCTCTCCAGATAGCTGCTCTCCGCCACGCCTGCCCTGCGCTGCTAGAGGTGCCGTCAGACCACGCTGGGCCAGGGCATCTGGAGGAGTCTGCACAGAGGCCTGCACGGGAGCACACACAAACACACACACACACACACTCACACACCCTCCTTGAGCTGGATTGATTTAGAAGACAGCCTTGCCGGCCATAGAGAGCCGAAAGGCGAGGGACAGCCTTGGGCTGCAGTTGCCTCTCTACACAGCAGGGGCCCTGAGCTAGCCCTGCTCCAGGGCAGGAAGGGAGGGAAAATGAGGTGGTGGCCACCAAGGGGCACCTCTGACACAGCCAACATATACACATAACCACATGCACTAGCGCTCCCAACACACACACACACACACACACACACACACGCACACACGCACACACGCACGCACACACACACACTCCCAGGCATCTCCTTCCCTGCCCATTCCTTTCCTCCCGGGCCAGCATCTTTCTGTGAATCCTGGATGGAGTACAGCCCCCCACACACATAGCGGGAAGGGATGTGCCTGCTCGGAGAACCCTCACAGTTGTATCTGGCTTCAGTATGTGTCTCTTATCCATGTTGGGAAAAGAGGTGGCTGGGGTCCCAGGGAGAGGGACAAGAAGGGACCATTCCCCAAAGTAGAGGGAGGCCTTCAGGAAGCTGAGCTGAGGTGATTGGCCATAAAACAGCTTGGCCACAGCATCTGGAGGAGATTGGAACCAGATGTTCCTGGGATGGGGGCAGGGAGGATGTGGGGCTGGGAGGGGGCTGGAGCAGGAGAAGGGGGCTGGTCAACAGGAGGCTGGGTGAGGGGCCCCGTGGCTCTCTGGGGAAAACATCTGGCTGCCCTCTGCCCCTCTCCCCGTCGGGCACTACTATTTTTGCAAAATGGAGCAGCAAATCTTTTCCAGGACTCTAGAGTCAGCCCTGTGTGTAGGGACAGTCAAGCACAGGGTGGGACTTGGGAGGTGCCCAGGAAGGCTAGCCAGAAATATGTCCCCTGCTCTGTGAGCCCCGCCTTGCTGTGGGTTAAGCATGGTCTTTTCTGACAGTAGTTCTGTGCTACGCTCCTGATGCCCACCTAGAAACTTGTGTGCCAGAAGTCTCCTTTTATCATAGGAAAGGAGTGGTCCAGGAACCGGAAAATTGTCCCGCAGAGGAAAGGAAAAGAAGGCCCATCTACAGGCTGTCTTCAAAGGTTATCTCATTCCCTCCTTGAAACCCTGTGAGGTGTCATCATCCTTTGTGTCTAGATAAAGAACCCGAGGTTCAGAGCGGTGAAGTGACTCACCCAGGGACACAAAGCCACCAAATGGTAGAGCTTGTGTTTGCATTCAAATTTGCTGGGGGGAGGGGGGTGGGGGTGGGGGCGGCATCAGAGAGAAAAAGGAGCGAGGGGCAGTGCAGGGCCAACAGTTAGCCCTGCAAGCCCCCACTGCTGCTGAGGATCCCCGTGGCCTCAGGAGCCTGGCCCAGCCCTCTGGCTGCCGGGAGCCTGGGCCCTGGGTTTTCTCCTTGCCTGTGGCAGGAAAGGTTGCTGGGCAAAGGCAACAGGCTGGGGGAGCAGAGGCCCAGAGAGGGGCAGCTGGCCAACGTCACAGAGCGAAGCCTGGCAGAGCCAGGTCTGCTGACTGCCGGCTCGTGCTGTCATCCTGTCCTCTCGGGCCAGAGAGGTGCTCCCAGCGGGAGGAGTCGGAAGCTCCAGGCTATGCGGTCATCTCAACCTGGGTACCAGGGTTGGGAGCACAGTCCGGGCAGGTCCATCCTCGCTCTCTCACTGGTCGTGCACTCAGGATCCAGGGAAACCCAGGGTCCTCGGGGGCTTGGAGACAGTTGGAAGAGCGAGGGTGCCTTCCTCCCACGTGGGACCACCTGAGTGGATGGGCGGCTGCACTGAAGCTGGTCTAGTTTAGAACCCGAAGCAGCCAGAAGGGGAGGGTGAGCTGGGCCCTGAGAACACATTAAGTTGTGGAGTATCAGTGGCCTGCAGGCAGCTCCTAGGCAGCCTCCACTGCCTGGTGGCAGCCTCTGAAGATGGGCCCAGGGAAGACTGGAGAACCTGCCAGCCGGAGCCCCTGAGTCATTATAGGGTCCGAATCTATGGTGGTGATGGTCTCGGGACTGGTGCCCAGGGTGGCTGCAGAGGGCGATCCTGAGCTGCCCCAGCTGTGGTGTTTATTCAGAGGCCCTGTTTGAGGTGGAGAACCAGGGACTCTGTGGGCTGGAGCCCCACAGTCTAGACGGAGTTATGATCTCGGTTCCCTCTGTACCTGTGGCTTGTGACCTGGGAGTGCGTCCTCCGAGCTTCAGAGGAACCCGCAGGGCTGGTGAAGGGAGCTGTGACCACTGACTACAAATTTGGCCGTGGAGGAGCTGATGCCAAGTTGGCTGGCAAAGTGTCTGGGTGAGATGCCCAGGCAGCTTCAACAGTTTGGGGGGCTTTCCATTCTGCTCAGCCCTGTCCACCTGCGGTCAGGGCTGGAGGACAGGGCTGCACCCTGACTGTGGGAGGGGGAACTATATGCAATCAGATGCTAGCAATGGGTCTGGTTCCCACTGCTGCTTAAAGGGCCAGTGTGGGGTGCACCATGCCCTACTGCTTCCTGGGCATGGGTCCCCACACATAGTCCCTCTATCTGGCACAACACCTGCCCTTGCTATAGGGAGGAGCTTGGAGCCAGTAAAAGAACTACAGCCCCACTGAAGGCCTCAGGGCGCCCTGGGGCCTGGAGCAGGCTGTTGATCTCCCCGGAAGCTGAGGGTGGCAGCCTCAGTGTAAGAAGCTGGGTTCTTCCTCGGTTCTTTCCCCCTGAGATCCATGTAGAGAAAAGGCAGAGAAAGACTCCTTTGAAGGGAAGGAGCAGGGATATGGTTTCTCTCCCTCTGGCCTCAGGGAGACAGGTCTGCGCCTCTGGGCTGGCCGGGAGGGAGGCAATGGCAGGAAGGAGGAGGCCAGACAAGACACAACCTTGAGTCGCTGTGGGAGAGGGGGCCAGAGCTGGAATGTTTGCTCAGCGTCTGGCTCTTGTCTCCATGACAAGAGGACCCACGCCTGACCTTCAGGGTGGCAGGCTCTAGTTAACGGGTCTGCTCTGGCTGATGCCAGTTTTCTGGCTCCTGGTGAGGTTCCCTGGTTGGACACCCTCGCAGCCCACACACCCCTTTCTTAGACACAGAGACAGAAAACCCAGATGGACACCGGATGGACAAACACACGCTTCTCCCCTATTCCATACCTCCTCCCTCTCCACGAAAGAGCCTTTTACAGAATGTTCCACCCCTCCCGTTGTGTGGGAGGGCTGTGCAGTGTGTGCATTTGGTGCGCCCGCCTGCAGGCTGAAGTGTGCGAGGTGGCGGTGTTTGTGTGCCCAAGTGTGAAATCACACCCGCAGGGGTCCTAAATAGAAGGGAGGAAGGGCAGCCAGGGAGGCCAGATGTCCTGGCTGTGGGCCACTCCAGCAAGCCTGCACATCTGGAATGAGACACCCCCACCCCCTCCCACCGTGTCCCAGGCAGCATTTGGCACAGGATACTGGCTGTAACACTTTCGGTTTATTGGCTGGGATGCCCTGGTGTGGCCGACCAGCCACTGGGCCTGAGAGAAGGCCTGTCTCCTTCCCCACCCTTCCCCTTCCTCTCCCCGCTGTGCTCCTGTGGGATGCGTACGGAAACGCATGCCCCAGGAAACAGTGGGAAGTGGAGGCTCAAAATAAAACCAAGTGAGGCCGGGGAAGGGCCGGGACATGGATATTACAATGAAGATATGCACCAGCTATACACAATCCAGCACGCAGAGGTGGGCAGGACAGGCAGGAGGGTCCCGCTGACAGACCCTCCCCCCACCGGCCGGCCCCCACAGAGGAATGGCCACTTCAAGTGTCTCAGTGAAAGCGCTGGCCCCCCGGCCCTGGGCCCTTGCTCAGGTAGGGCCAGCGGGGGAGGGACCTGGGAAGTGGCTCATGAAGGAGTCCAAGTCCCTGCCTCCTGAGGACGGCCTCATCCAGACCATCGGGGGGTGGGGACGGGTGCTCCCACTGTCCGGTCCAGGTGACCGGGGGCGGCGGTCACTTCCTGCTGTGCAGTGTGTCCTGGAACTTGGTGCTGGTGTAGCGCAGGTGGAAGCCTTTTTTGGTGATGGTGTCATCGGAGTGGAACCTCACCAGGACAGAGTCTCCCGCCGAGTACACCTCCTCAGGGGGCTGACGGAGGAAGGGGATGTGTGAGGCTGAGGACGGGCCAGGGCTGCGGTTTTCCCTCCCTAAGGCCCCCTGCTCTATGGAAGGCAGGCTCCGACTTCCACCAGGTCCCCCGACCCCTTGAAGCAGGAGACGCTTCTAGTGGCCGTTTAAGGGGTGCCTGGGGGAGGGGAGAAAGCAGGGGGCAGAGGAGCTTGTCTTAAGTCCAGAGTAAAACGTCCATTCTCAACCCGGCTCTGTTACTAACTAGTTCGTTGTGAAGTTTTGGCAACGTACTACCTTTCTGGACCTTGCTTCCCGCAAGTACAAACAGGACCAAAGGCTATCTGCTCTCTAAGCCTAGAAGGTCTGGGGGAGGGGGCACATGAGCAGGTGGCTGTGGAGGGTTCTGCAAAGGAAGCAGATTCTCTGAGTGGCTGCCTTCTCACTGCCCAGCCGTCTCCTGGAGAAGACAGGACAGCTGGGTTCCCCGGACCGGGCTCGGCCAACCCTCGCCTCCCCTCCCCCACTTCTGATCATCGTCAGCGCCAGGTGATGCCCCTTCCTAGGCTCCTGCCAGCCCCTCCTCACCTCTGTACAGACCCCCAGAGTGAGAGCCACCCGTAAAGCATCAGCACAGATGCCCTGCCCTGAAGGCGTAGGAAGGATCATTTGTAGACCATGCCAGGAAGCCCTGATGGGATTGGGCTCCTTCCCCAGGTCCCCACTTGCTAGCTTCTGCCTGTGGAAGTCTCTGGAAGAAGCCACCTAGGGCACCCGAGGGACTCCCGAGCCTCTAGCAGGGCAGGCAAGGGGACTGTGTTCCCCGCTTCCCGCTCCACCTCCCCACCCCTCACCCTGCCCAGCCCTTGCCATTCAACAGCCTGAAGCTCTGCTCGAAAGGAGACTCGCCACAATGTTGGGTCCAGCTCTGGGAAGTTCACCCTTCCTGGGGCGCCCAGGTGGCCTGGAGCACGGCCCTGAGAGAGGCGGGGACCAGGAGGTGATGGGAGGACAGTCTGGGTATGCGCATGAGGTGAATGCATGTGCAAACGTGTGTGTCTGTGTGTGTGTGTGGGGGGGCCATGGGCAGAGAAAGACAGCATTCTCTGAAGGAGGACAAGATTAAAAAAAAGAGAGAAGGAGCCACAAGCTCTGACTGGGAGGAAAATAGATCCACCTTTGTGGTTTTCCTGTGGCCTCAGTTAAAACGCTATCGAGCACACTCTTGCCACTGCCTCTAAAAGGCCAAGAAGTGGTGCTCAGGGCCTGGTCGGACAGCAGCACCAACAGCTCGGGAACCACTGGCCTCTCACCAAGAAGGGAAGCTGGCCATGCAAGAGAGGAGGGTGTTTTTGTGGCTCAGCCAGAACGGCTGGTCAGCACAGCTCGCTTAGGCGCTGGTCCCTGGCTCTGGCCCCCACCTCTGAGTCCTGGTGAGCTGCCTTGGGCTGGAGCAAGGGATGGGGTTGGGGCATCCTCCTCCCCAGATGCAAGCTACGCTGGAGGCCCAACCTAACTGGTGCTGGGGAGGCTTGAGTCAGGGCAAGGCCCATCCCAGAGGCTGCAGGAACCTGTTTTGCCCTAAAAGGACCAGTTGTCCCGGGTGGGGATGGCCCAGCGCAGGGCAGGGCAGGCCTCTGTGATCAGCCACCCAGCAGGTCTCTGGGCCCTGGCCAGGGGCCAGTAAATGCTGCCACCCACCATACCGGCACCCCATGCCTGCAGAGGCACGGGCTGGCACGGGGCCTCTGGATTGGGGCGAGAGTGGGACCTCACCCCGGAGCCACAGTAGCGCCCCAGCCTGGGGGCTGTGCTGTCGTAGCCATCAAAGAGCTCCATGTAGTCGTAGCCACAGTCCGTCTCCTCTTCTACCTCGAAGGTCTGGAACACGAGCTCCACACCGTAGCCTTCCTCTGCCACGATGACCCACTCGCAGTCCACCCCCCCGGGGTAGTTGTTGTCACCAAACTGGGCGTGGGAGTAAAGGTCCTTGGACTTCACCTCGGCTCGCACCTGGCCTCCGCACTCTGTGGGGACAAGATGGGCCATCACTCGCTGCGCTCAGCCTTGGCGGCCCGCACCTCACAGCGCAGGCTTCCAGGCCGGCTGCAGGCCCTGCGAGGCCCATTGGCTAGTGAGGGCTGGGTTTGGACCTGGCTCAGGACTTGGCCCAGAGCATGGAGGCCGGGGGTGCACAGGGTGGGGCGGCTCGGAGCAGAGGCGTGGTGGAGGGCATGCTTGTTGAGAGGGGACACGGCTAAGTCCTCCAGTTGATGGATGTCATGGAAGAATGTGGGCCCTGCGCTGCCAGATTCTATTCTTAGAGAGATAGGATCATCTAGATTTTATGTGAAAACTTCTTGATTTTTAATGTTGCTCACATTTTTAAAAAACACAGT